ATTTTATATTTCACTATTAGAAAAAGCACTAAATAACACTACACTCACTATAGACGTTATTATTAAGGACATAAATGAGTATAAAGTTAAGAAGATACTTAAAGTATAAGGCATAGAAAAGAATCGTTATTATCTTATTAAGTAGAAAGGATACCTAAACTCTAAAAATACATAAGAACCAGTCAGGAACCTCTAGCACTACTAGGACCTCCTACGAGAGTATTAGTAGGTGTAACTAAGGGACCTAGGTTAGAAAAATCCCTAACGCCGAATTAGGCCCAGTCGGGATCGTTAGGAACCCCTAGAGCCTAAAGGTCGTGAGCTATCCAGTGCTCATAAGAGTCTAGGGCAGGAAGGATGTCGTCCTCCTTATCTAGCTCCTGCATCCTACGCTTAAATAGCTCGCGGCTCTTATCCTTCACCTGACGGCGAATTTTCTAAATCCTTACTAAACGATTTACTACTAAAGAAAGCTAAGACTATAACTCTAGTAGATGATCCTCCGCCTTCTCCTCGTCCTCGTCTAGCTTCTTCTACTAAGCTATTAAGCGGTTTACTATCTTAAGGTTAGTAGACGTAGGAAAAAGCTAGGGCGTAAGAACCCATAAGAGGATACCACTATTACACTATTATAGGAACGACTATGACTAACGCACTACTCGTATTGTGTTTTACTGTCTATAAAACGGCACTCCTTCTTATGCTTAAAGCAATAGGAGTAAGGCATGTCTGCGTTATACCCGTTCGAGGCGATAAAAGCCTTTAAGGTGTCACGTTCGTTGCTTTTCCGCGAGTGGGGTTTCTTAATACGACTTAATATAACGTTAGGATATAATAATATAGGAGGGAAGTTACGACCTACTACTAAAAGGGAATTTAGTGGCCTTAAGGATAAGACTAATGGAGGAGGAGTATAATGTTACGAATAAATAAGAGTGACATAGGGCGGCCCGAGAAGGAGGCTAGGCGGGACGCCTATAGGACGCCCAATTAGGATAGAAAGTCACGTGACCACAATAGGCTCACGGGGTCACCGTGAGCCAGTGAGCCAAGAAAGGATCACGACCTTAGCGTGAGCTAGTGATCTAGGTAGTATAGTAGAGGATAGGAAGGGTATATAGGGAAGGGGATTCCTAGTAGATAGCCAGACTAGATCTCTACTAATTAATCTAAGTAATAGTTCTACTATTAGGAGTAATCTCTTAAACGTGACTTAAGCTACGATACTGCTCATCTACACCTGTGGTGCATTCAACCTGACTCACTTCCTAAGAAACAGATTTACTGTGGATTAGAGAAGAGCCACTGTTACACTTAAGTACCTGTCTATCTCTCTACTATAACTCTAGATAGCTAGATCATTTATCTATCTATTGATTATTCTAATTATAGTGATCGATGAGTGATCTATTAATCACTTTATAGGTCACGTGACCCTGCGTCCTATTTAGGATACTAGTGTGTCGGACTTAGCCCGACTCACTCAGCCCCACCTATGCATCCTATGCGTTCGTAATATTATATTCTTTATAAGTATAGAAATAAAGGGCTTTTTATAAATAATTAACTTTATATAAAATAAGAGTAGATTAAAAGTAGTAAAAAAAAGGAGAAATAAAGATAAATAAGGATAAAATAGTATAGTAATAAAAGTAAATATATAGAATTAAAGAGACTAAAAGAAAATAGAAAAAAAAACTAAAGAATAAAAGTATTATAGTCTTTATATACTTATTAACTAATAATAGATTAATTAAATTAACTAGATTAGTTACTAATAAAAATAATAATAATAAATTAACTACTAAGTTAATTAATAAAAACTAATATAAGACTATACTACTCTTAAAAGAGTAACTATAAGTATACTAAGAATAGATCTTTATATAATATTTATACTAAAATATAATAACTAGTAGAAAATATAATAAATAATATAGTTAATATAAATAATAAATACTTAAAGAATTATACTTTTATATAAACTAAAAATAATAAACACTTTAAGTATAAACTAAGTATTTACTTACTTAGAGATATAGTTAATTATATTCTTTTATAACCTCTATATAGAGATTATAAGCCACCTCCCCCCCCCCCCTAACTAAGAACCTATACTCTAAGATAGAGGAGACTAAGAATACCCTAGCCCTAATATAGTCTATATAACTAAAGAAGGTAGTAATAATAAAGTAGAAGATATTAGAGAGGGGGGAGGAGAAGTAATAGAAGGGATAGGACTAAAAATAAAAACCTAAGGATTAAGAGAGGGGCCTATACTAGACCCTACTAGGAATTAATATAAGGCTAACTATTTATAGTAGAAGTAAAGGTTTTCCTCTAAAGACTCTAGTTTTTCTTTTACTATTAAACTTATAAAGGTACTAAATAAGTAGACTAGTTTAATTTATATAATATAATAATATATTAAAAATTTAAAGAATATAAAAGTTATAAACTAATAAGAATAAAAAATATATATTATTATAATAATATTTAAAAAGGAATTTATTTATATAGTAACTATTATACTTATTAATAATAAAAAGTTTTCTTTAAAGACTTTTATTAACTTTATTTTAAAAATAAAGATTATTTTAAGTTAATAATTATATTATTATTATTTATTTAGTCTTTTAAAAAAGTCTAAAAATACTAGTTCTTAAAAGAGTTTAATTCCTCTAGAAACTACTATTATTA